AGGAATGACAGAGACAGGGGGAAATGAAGGAATAATATGCAAGAATGGAACGAGGAAGGCCAGTAATATATTTTTGCGTTTGTTATACATTTTAGTCATATTTCCCTACCAATGACAACGATTTAATAAGCAACCTCAATTTAATATTTAATTTATTAAATTGTTTATAGAATTAATTTTTTTTATTAATACATTAGATACATCTGCATTAGTGCAGCTACCCTAGACTATATGGAGTACCGTGTGTCAAAAAAGCTAACTACGTGATGCTATAAAATCCCCATCACACAGGAGGGTTAGTCATACAGAGGCATGTGATAGGATACATAACTACCAAGCAGTAGTATTACCCTACGGTACGCCACACCCATCACTTTCATCACTCTACGGTACTCCATACCCCAACAAATCTCATTATTACGTCCAAATGGTCGTCAATATTCCACCTAACTGCTCATATGAACTTAGAACGTCACGAATATATTTCTTGTAATCTCTTCCTCGTGTTTTCAAATAAGTTGAAGTCGGGAGACATTATAACTCCGTACATTAAGAGGGAGTTGGAAGCAGGAAGTTAGTATCCAATTTGGGGTCGGGTAACAGTGATGTGGAGGGCCCCTCATCTTGGGCCCTAACTTCAGGGGGCCACCAAGAAACTATCACAAGTTGGCTGGCAGCATGAAGCGACCGCCACTCTCAAAATATGTGACTTTATTCATGGTAGCAAAGCGAAGTTCGTTGTTCACTTGGCTGCTCATTAGAGTCGCGATACGACGGGTGTGGTTGTGGGTGTTGTAATAATTGCGTGGTTGTGTGTGGGTTGGTGCATATGTCTGTGAGTGTGTGTGTGTGTGTGTGTGTGTGTGTGTGTGTGTGTGTGTGTGTGTGTGTGTGTGTGTGTGTGTGTGTGTGTGTGTGTGTGTGTGTGAGAGAGAGGAGGAGGAGAAGGAGGAAGAGCATGCTGTGTGTTGTGCGTGAGCTTTATAGCCTCTAGCCTGCTGGATAATTAGTGTCGTCATTCACGTTAGCCGCAGCACACACACCTGTATGTCGATAATTAGCGGAGGTGGAGGAAGGAGGGATTGGAACAGGAGAGAACGGGTGCGGGAGGAAAAGGAGGTGCTGGGTTATGGAAGAGGAGTCACTCTTCCTAAAGTCTTGGTCTCTCAACCAGAGGCTCTTCCAAAAAGGCTTGGCCACTTTTCCAAAGGTTTGACCATTTTCTCATAGACTTGACAACTTTCTTAGAGGCTTGGCGACTTTGTCTAAGGCTTGGTAGCTCTCAAAAGACTGGCCACTTTTGAAATAGCTTTAGCAGCCCTCCTGAAGCTATTCTGTTTTCCCCTGATGACTGTTTGCTTTCCTTACCGCGCGTGAAATCATCAATTCACTGTTCCACTGTTCCATGATGAATTGTGATAATATGAAGAGTGTCATATGGAAGTCGGGGTTGACCCCCATGCCTCTCATTAAATAGGATATGCTCCGATTGGAATTCCAATGAAGTCTGAATTGTGGGTCTGATTGTTGACAATTACTGTTTATAGCTGCTACCTTATTCACTCCTATGTGTGGATGATATCCTCATAATGCACCCAGAGTCTGCCAGTGCAGACTACTTATCACGTGCCTCTGTATGACTAACCATCCTGTGTGATGGGGATTTTTAGGATCACGTAGCTAGTTTTTTCACACACTGTACTCCCCATCATTTAGTCTAGGGGGGAGTCTATGGTTTATTATCTAATTAGGAGGCCTAGTCGAGGACCAGGCCGCGGGGTCGCTAAACCCCGAAAACACCTCAAGGTAAGGTAGGGCAGCTGCACAAATGCAGATGTATCTAATGTGCTAATAAAAAAACAAAAGAGCTGTTGATTACACACACAATGTAACTACAATGTTCTTACAACTTTGTATCTTAAAAGAGTAAGAATATCGTTGTGGTTAGGTTCTGTGTTTCAGTGGGGCGTAGATGGAATGTTCCGAGAGAGAGAGAGAGAGAGAAAGGGAGAGAGAATGAAAGGCTGAACATAGGGAGGAAGACTGAGATGGAGGGAGAGAGAACAAGAGGGAGGGAGAGAAAGGTAATTAACAGGAGAAAAATCAAGCCATTACGACTATGTAGCACTTGGAAGGGATATGAAGATAAGGATTTAAGATGAGGCAGGGGGGGGGGGAGGAAGGAATAGTGCCCAACCACCAACGACTTGAACGGTCAGGGATTGAACGCCGACCTGCAAGAAGCGAGACCGTCGCTCTACCGTCCAGCCCAAGTGAAAGAGTGGAGGTAGAGAGAATGGGAGAATGGAAGGTTGGTAGGGAACACGAGAAGAATGGTAGTAGAGGAAGGAGAATGGCAGGGATGGAAGAAGAACAACAACAAGAGAGACAGACATTGCCAAACAGAGGTCCAGGCACTGCTGGATACCTCATAGTTATAAGGGGAACCACCTCTGGCGCAATTTTGGGGACCCATAGCCTCGAAGAAGAGAATGAAGAGCATTCAGGGAAAACTAGGGTCGTGTGACCCTAAATATGCATGAGTATTTGCTTTTCCGACATCCTCTTATTCTCACTGTACACTTTATTATACAAGATTATGCAATTACATAACTGATTGGTTGCAAAATGTAAGCATAAGAGGAAAGAAAAGGAAGTTTGTGTCTTAGAGGATGAAGTTCTTTTCGAACTTCTCTGACGCCGGGCAGGAACCGAGAATGCAGTTCGGATTTCCCCTCTGGATCGCCAATTTGAAGCGCTGGAAAAGAAAGCTCGCTGCTCTAGGGGTCTCTTGTTATTTCGATGAGCTTGAACCCCAGATCATTGATAAGTATCCTTGCAGTCTTTCCCCCATGGACCAAGAGTTTGAATCCTTTAGGAACAAAGTTGTACTAGTGATTTATTTCCCCTGTGCTTCTTCGATTTGTCCCTTGTGCTTGGACGTTATTTATACGACAGGTTACCAGCAGCAACTGGGCACAAGTTCCATCCCTGTAATTGTTCCTCTCTTCCTCTCCCATCTCCTCTCTCTCCTTCATCTCCTGATTAATTTTGCCTGTTTATCTAACTGTCTTTTTTTTCTTATGTTTTGCGCGCTCTCCATTCTTTGTTGCACCTCTTCTTTGTCGCCATCTCCCATTTTTTCCCTCTTCTCTATCTCTCTCTCTCTCTCCCTCTTCTGCCCACTCCTTTCTGTCTTCCTCTTCTTCCCACCCTCCTGCCCTCTCCTTCCCCCTCCCCTATGCCTCCTCTTTCCACCCCTTTCCCTCTCTCCCTCTTCTTCCTATCCGCCTCTTCCCGCCCCACCTTCACGCCTCCCCATCCGTTCTAGCTTCTCACATTTCCCAGAACTCATAATTAGCATCGTCACCCTCATCACGCCAGCCTCCTCCCCCTCCCCCCCCCATGAGATCACAGTATAAAAAAGTGGAAAATGAGCAACACTCGTCCTCCATCCCTGCTGGTCCCGCCTCACTCTCCTCCTCATTACTAATTTGCATACTGAGGTCACCTGGGGTTGTGAGGAGGTGATTACGGTGGTGATTGTGGAGGTGATTGTGGTGGTGGTGGCGGTTGTTGAGGAAGTTGTTTTTTGGGGGGGAAGTGAGGGTTGTGATTGTGGTGTTGATGGTGGTTGTGGTAGAGGTAGGGTGATGTGGGGGGTAGTTGTGGTAGGGATGGAAGTGCTGGTGGTGGTGGTGGTGGTGGGTGTGTAGCGTGTGTTTGAGGACACAGTCACAAGAACAACCAGTTGATTGACGGTTGAGAGGCGGGACCAAAGAGCCAAAGCTCAACCCCCGCAAGTGCAACTACGTGAGTACAGATGGACTGCGGCGCGAGAGGACTCTACAATGACGGTATAATTAAGAACGTTGAGAGTGACGTTGTGGGATCAATAGGGACGTTTAGTGACGTGGTGGGATCAATTGGGACGTTTAGTGACGTGATGGGATCAATAGGGACGTTTAGTGACGTGATGGGATCAATTGGGACGTTTAGTGACGTGGTGGGATCAATTGGGACGTTTAGTGACGTGATGGGATCAATAGGGACGTTTAGTGACGTGATGGGATCAATTGGGACGTTTAGTGACGTGGTGGGATCAATTGGGACGTTTAGTGACGTGATGAGATCAATAGGGACGTTTAGAGAGATACTAAACTTGTTGTTGTATTTTTGGCATTATTATTATTATTATTATTATTATTATTATTATTATTATTATTATTATTATTATTATTATTATTATTATTATTATTTACACAGGTGGGTACAGGAACAAATGACTTCTGACTCCTGTAAACAGGTTTAGAGCTTCCCCCATAACTCATTGTAAGCCTTACCTACTAGTTTTACCTGGAACACGACCCACCAATCGATTTACAACCATGTACTCAAGTACTGCTGGGGTGAACAGAGATTAGCAGTTAAGGCTTGGGGGTCTATTCCATCCTCACTTGCCAGGACTCGAACCCAAACAGAATAGAATAGAACAGCTGGCGAGGCTGGGTTGGGATGGACTCATAAAATGGGTTGGGGAACAATGGGATGGCGGTGGCTTGATCTGAAGGAGATGCAGTGGAGAGAAAAAGGTGTTGTGGTTGGGAGAGAACGCGTTGCAGAGCATGTGAGAGAGATCAGTGGAGGTGTTGTGGAGGTTAGTGGATGTGCTGGGGAGGTTAGTGGATGTGTTGGGGAGGTTAGTGGATATGTTGGAACATTAGTGGATGTGCTGGATATGTCGGTGGATGTGTTGGGGGGAATGGTACAATTGTTGAACTGAGTAATACATCTACTATTACAGATGTGATCTAACAGATCTAACATTTCCCAACATTCACCAGACAAAACCTGACATAACACCCACATTACAATTCCAAGTCACTCAAAATTAGACCGTTTATTTGTCTCAAGAACAACACACCATTTTTTCTCAAGAACACAACATTTATCTCAAGAACACAACATTTATCTCAAGAAATTTTATCAATTTATCTCACCTGCTCTGGAACACCTACCACGTGACGCACCTGCTCTGGAACACCTACCACGTGACGCACCTGCTCTGGAACACCTACCACGTGACGCACCTGCTCTGGAACACCTACCACGTGACGCACCTGCTCTGGAACACCTACCACGTGACGCAGCTGCTCTGGAACACCTACCACGTGACGCACCTGCTCTGGAACACCTACCACGTGACGCACCTGCTCTGGAACACCTACCACGTGACGCACCTGCTCTGGAACACCTACCACGTGACGCAGCTGCTCTGGAACACCTACCACGTGACGCACCTGCTCTGGAACACCTACCACGTGACGCACCTGCTCTGGAACACCTACCACGTGACGCAGCTGCTCCGGAACGCCTACCACGTGACGCACGTGCTCTGGAACACCTACCACGTGACGCACCTGCTCTGGAACACCTACCACGTGACGCACCTGCTCTAGAACACTTACCACGTGACGCACCTGCTCTGGAACACCTACCACGTGACGCACCTGCTCTAGAACACTTACCACGTGACGCACCTACTCTGGAACACCTACCACGTGACACACCTGCTCTGGAACACCTACCACGTGACGCACCTTACCACAAAGCTGGTAACATGCCACACCTGCCATAACACATCTGTCGTAAGCCACCGTCCTGCCAGCAGCAACCTTTTGTCAACATCCACCCTGGCCTAGCAAGAGACCTCCACCTGGCGAGGTGAACTTCCTCCCCTGGGGAACTCTGACACCTGTACAGTTGTTTGTGAGGTGGAGAGAAATACTCTGGCGTCAACATGCCAGAAGTTACGCAGTCCCCACTATGTTGATGTCAGGTGTGGAAGGGTAGGAGAGGAGAGGAAGGGAGACTGGGAGGGAAGGGGTGGGATGAGATAGGAGGGAGAGAATTATCAGGGGAAACCGCCAAACCATTACGCCTATATAGCATTCGGAAGGTGTTAGGATAAGGATTTGGGATGGGACGGTGGAAAAGGAATGAGATAGAGGGAGAGGGATGGAGTAATTAAGGAGAGGACTGGACATAAAAAAGAGTCCAGCTGAAAGTTACTTAACCAGACGGTGATAAGTAACCTTACACCGGGGAGACATCTCCCGTCACGCAGGGTGCAGTCGCACCTCCACAGATCTCCAGTATCAGCTCTTGATACTGGTAATGGCTCAAAAGGGCCACCACTTACGGGCTATTCATGCCCGTGCCACCTTTTGGGTGGCTTAATCTTCGCCAATCAATCAATCAGTAACCTTAGGAGTGAGTGTGTGTCTTGAGACTGGGAGCTCGAGAGTGTGTAGCCCACTACGACAGTGGCCAATATTATTAGTAGTAGTAATAAATCCTACACTAAAAACCTGAACAATCGGGTCTAATTGATGAGCGTGACAGGTAAGGTCATCGATCAGGAAGGAGTTCAGATATAGGCAGAGTTACGATGTAGAATTGGGCGAAATTGCATTAGCATATATATAAATAAAAAACAGATACTGTCCGCCTATTCAAGAACATATCGGGACTAACTAATGATATTTAGCAAAGGTTCGTACATTCTCTGAAATGTTTAGAAAAGCAAAATAAAGAAAATATACTATGAGAACTGTAAACACACATATGGACAAACTAAAATGTGCATTGTACTAATGTGCTTAAAGTCAGAGTCTCGGACGTGAGCCCGCTGGCGCTCGAGGGAAAGAATGTAGACGATAACAGAAGTGTTTCAACACACTCAGAACGTCGCGTGCAGGTACAGCGTGATCCATGCTTGCTAACTTCGAGCCTAATTTTGATCATGTGCGTTATGGGGGATTACAGCTGGCTGCCTGGTGTTGTACCTCTTAAGTTTCCACACTGACAATTGTCACGCCAGGAATGAAGTGAAGGATCATCAATTCTTCAGGCAGAGAGTTGACCAACAGAGAGCCGGTGGGAAGGCTGCTCTGCCGATGGGGCTCCCACTACTTTTATACCGAAGAATTGGGCTCTCTGCCAAGACAGTGGCATGATAAGCTTCTCGGCTCCCACTATGCAATTATCATTATGAATATGAGATATGCGGCCGCCCGGTACATAAACTTGCCATCATCTTGAACGTCCGCAAGCGTAGACATATACAGATGATAATCAGGAATCCTTCATCAGAAGTAATGGGACAGGAGAGATCGGGAACGCCAGCTTCGAGCAGGTGGAGCGGGCAGCAGACTTGAGGTAGAAACTTTTGCTGATTACTCTCCCCGGCGGCAAATGGCAGCACTGACAGTCCAGGAGCTGTTGGTCCCTGGTGGCCTAGCTGCCCGCCCTGCCGACCAACCCAGGTTAACTTCTGATATTGAGGTCTCCCCGCTGACCTCTGCACACTGCTACCAGATTTTCTCCCGTATTTTTGCCTGCCGAGTTGAGCAAGGAGACGACAGTGTCTTATTTAATATATATTTGTGCCTGATGGTCTGTGCAAGCAGTCAGCATATTCGTGCATCAAGCGTGGTTTAGATGCGCCTCATAAACAGCTTGTCTCATGTTGAGCGAGTGGTCGTATAGGCAAGGAGGCGCACAGGAAAATCTATTTCCATTTTCCTCTTATCCTCTCCAATACTTTGGGGAACCAGGACGTACACGTGAACACAAGACAAGTCTGCAGACACAAGCGGTGCTCACTTTTGTCATGTTTGGGACTTTAATCATCTTTTAGACTGGTAGTCTTTTAATATAATATTTTTTGCCTCTAGTCTTCACAGATTTCGTCTGGTCGAGTTGGGCTTGCATACACAACATGTGCAACGTGAACAAAGTCCTGGCTTTGTTGACTAGCCAGTCTCAGTGCTCAGTTAATTCCTCTAACCTGTTTAATAAACGTGATCTGACTTCAGCCCTTATAGGATTTTCTTCATTTCTTTCTCTCCTATTGCTATCTCTTGTTTCTGTTGAACATCTTTCTCTTTGCCATTAGACCTTCTGCAAATGTCCTTTATTCCAGTTAACTCCTGTAGTATACCTCTTACCTCCATGCCTTTCGCTTCATATTCTCACATTACTGTATATATATATATTGACTTCCTTTACCACTTTATGTACGACCTGATAATGGTGCAGAAAAGCGGGTTGGGTGTCTTGGCACGTCAACACTGGATAGGTCCGTAGGCAACAAGCCTGCAGAGATCAACAGTCCGGAGAGTGGTATGAGCGGGTAGGCAGGTTAATGAACAATTCCACAAGGGCCGTGATGAGGATTCGAACCTACGAACCAGACACTGCCTTAATCGACTGAACTACGACATGGTGGATGAACCTTGCCTTCCTTCCCCCTCGCCCCATAATGACCCCTGATAGTACCCACCACAACTGCTGTCCGTATCCCCTACACTTTCCACCTACAGTGTCAACAAAACCAAGGTCACATCCCTTCCCGAATCACCAGGCTCTGTTCCTTCACTGAAGGAGCGCATCACATCATTTACGGCTCTTGCCACCCCCTCACAACACCTACTTTATATACTAATAAGCCATTGTTGATGCTTACATTAAACCAGTTTAACATTTATTCTCTTCCAAATCACCTTGGAGTGGGGGGTTGGGGAGGGGTGGACGAACTGCCGCTCACAGACGCATTTTAACAATGATGGGGCGATTATTTTCACCCCGTTGTAATGCTGGTCCGGGCATCTTGCCACTCTAACGAGAGGGACCATAAAAGTCACGAGTGGCATCATTGCAGCATCTCTGTCGCGAGTGTGGGCTGAGAGTTACGATGTATCGCAAGGAGGAAGAGGAAGAAACAGGGTTGTTTAAGGAGTCGTTTTAACTATTCTGGCTTCAGATAAGAATGTGTTAATGCTTAACACAAATTCACTGACATTAGTTTTTCTCTCAAATTATCTTCTTACATTGACTTAGGCTTTATTCCCCGTTCCACAAATATATATATATATATATATATATATATATATATATATATATATATATATATATATATATATATATATATATATATATATATATATATACACACACACACACACACACACATCCTATATATATATCTATAGGATGTATATATATACACACACACACATCCTATATATATATCTATAGGATGTATATATATATATATACACACACACATCCTATATATATATAGGATGTGTGTGTGTATATATATCTAACTTTATTTATAATTTCATTACACAAAAAGGATTATAATAACTGAATGGTGCAGCAAATATAATTCTATTAAAAGCAAGTTATTAACCATAATAGTACACAGGGAAAAACTTAACCCAACCGGATTCAAGCAATCCGTTAAAAACACGATGTAATAATCAAACTAAAGCCCCATATGAACGTGTCGTTTTCTATGCATCGGCTTCGACAGGTTAGGTGGGTTGCTTAGGTTCGTACATTTATGGTTAGGTAAAATAGAGGCATTTGTACAGAGTTGTAAATGGAGCGGCCGGCGGGGAGGGGGGGGGGGGAGGCACCTCACACCACCTTATCTTGCCTTAACTCTATTAATATTCTTCTTAAACGATAAACAAATAAATATGTTGTTATTATTGTATATATTTTTATTAGTGGTATTTTATTACCTTTTAACTTACGATCTTTTAATAATAATTGTATTTATTAATAATAATAATATTTAATAATAATATTAATAATAATAATAATAATGATAATAATAATAACAGTTTCAATGAGATTCGTCACAGGGAGGAAGCAGAAGACCCGCCCGTGACACTGATGGCATTCCTGGTTATTAGCGCGGCGTTAGTAAACGTCCAGAGGCTGACTGCAGGTGCCAAGTGATGCCTGGCACTCGCTTGCCAAGCGAGTGCCAGGTTGTCATGCAGCATATGTCTAGTGTTGCGTAATGCAGGGCAGTACAGGTGTCAAACGTTGCACAAGGGAGTGTTGTACACTTAGGCACCGTCTCCACTCTAGACACTAATGACAACTGTCTTGTAAGGAAAGAAAGGCAATTTTGAGGTTATCTTGAGATGATTTTGGGGCTTTTAGTGTCCCCGCGGCCCGGTCCTCGACCAGGCTTCCACCCCCAGGAAGCAGCCCGTGACAGCTGACTAACACCCAGGCACCTATTTTACTGCTAGGTAACAGGGGCATAGGGTGAAAGAAACTCTGCCCATTGTTTCTCGCCGGTGCCTGGGATCGAACCCAGAACCACAGGATCACAAGTCCAGCGTGCTGTCCGCTCGGCCGACCGGCTCCCATAAAAAAGGAAGAAAAGTCCATTACGCAATCTTATGGGTTATACATTATTTTTTAGTTCTCCATAATCCAAGATTATGGGTAAACCTTGGTAAAGCACTAAGCTAGTGCAACTGTACAATTGGAAGGACTATGAGGATAAGGATTTGGGATAGAACGGTGGAAAGGAATGGTGCTCAACAGCTTGGATGGTCGGGGATTGAACGCCGACCTGCAAGAACCGAAACCGTTGCTCTACCGCCCAGTCAAAGTGGTTGGTTATAATCCAAGTACA